AAAAACTCTGCCCACTCTCTTGCAATAATTGCTCTAAAAGAGCACAGCATGTCATGCTCTCTGCTCTCTGCCACCAAATTTAACAATCCATGCAGCATGGATTGTTTATTTAAAATATTACAGAATTTAAATTGTAGTGAAGTGCAGCAGGCCATCAAAGGGTTAACCCTTCACGCAGCTCTGCTGCATGGAGCAGAAATGTACCTCTTGATCAATTACACCATGACAACTGAACATAGAAGTTCTAAAATAATTGAAAATAACTTTTAACACTTTTCTATTTTGTGATTATGACAATTTTACGATGTGACATACTTTTAATTTTAAGTTGGAAGACAAAAGTCGATCGGTGCATCTGGACAGCAAAAGGTTAACCCTTCACAAAGCTGATGCAGCACAGAGCAGAAATGGACATTTTTAGGATGTAAACTTTAATTAGAGAAATTGCATTTCCTGCAAAAATGCAGTGTGGATGCTTATTGCTGAAAAACTTCTTGATAAACAGCTGAAATTAGCTAAAAACATGCTGAAATGTAAGAACCAGCCTAAGTTAGCAGGAAAAGCAGAAAGAACACATATTTGCTGAATTTGGTTGAAATAAGCAGAAAGATTGGTAAATTAGCTAAAGAAAAGCTGAAATTACCAAGAAATGGCTAAAATGTAGCTGAAACAGAAGAAGCCTAAATCACCAAAAGAAAGTGTAGAGAGCACAATTGTACCCAATTAGACTGAAAGATGCAGAAATGTGCACATAAAAGTGAAAATTCTCTGGAAAAAAATAAATAAATTGCACAAAAAAAAATTACAATTTTTTTTAAAAATAAACAATCCATGCAGCATGGGTTGTTTATTTAAAATATTACAGTATTTAAATTTAAATTGTTTATTTACACAGAAGGAAGGAGATAGGGAGCAGGTGATGAGTGTGATTGCAGCCGAAAAGAGGGCGTGGCAGAGATCATGACAGGTTGCAGGAGAGAACTTCTCCCTGCAACCTGTGTGCAGCCCACAGGTGCAGCAGGTGCTAAATCATTTAAAATAATTTATTTTAAATAAACAATCCATGTCGCTCGTGTGGCTCATCCATCAATCAGTCAATTGTGTCATGTCCAATCTTTCTTTGAAAAACAGCGAAAGAGCAAGGGACTATTGTTGTATTACAAACATTTGGAGGACAGTTTTTTTTTTATTTTAGCAGTTGCATATTTCAAAATAATTATGTCGATTAATCTGTTTTGTTTATCTGCAGAAACTGTGGGTATGTTTGATTAACGTGGCATTCAGTGCTTTGGCAATACTTCACCTGACGTACCTGGGCTCTGTGTTCAACTCCAACGTGGACTATATTGAGGAGGATGAGGTAAGAGAAGAGTGAGACGGTTCACATACAAAATATAAATATAATATTACATTTTTAAATAATAGTAGTTTTAAAATATTAAAAAGACAGATGTTATCGTGCTGCGTTCAGTGGACCTCCGAAGTTGTATCTGTGATCTGCTCAGTGACCAGCCTAACTACGTTCAGCCACCAACGGTGGAGCTTTATGCATTTGAAATATTCAAACGCTGTAACATGTTCTCTAACAGAGGTTGGTCAGAACTGTGACTAAATTACTGAGATACAAACGAGTAGAAGTGAAGATAAAACTTTTTGCACTGCAGCTACCACATCTTTAATGCATGAGTCGGCCATATTGGATTTAAAAGTTGGAGCTGGTCAGGAACCTCGGACTTTACTTAAGAATTCCCACTTTGGGCTCATTCCAGTTAATTACTCCACCTTAGAGCTCGTACTTTCTGGCATTCAAAATACAAATGGAAGGGATTATTAGATATTACAAGACATAAATGTAAAATATTGATAAATTTGACCAATTTATTGTTGAAAGAAAAGCTATAATTTAAGTTGTTTTTTCCACCCACTTTTATCTATTATGAACTGCATATCCCATCCTTGTCAATCTTGTGCCTTCACAACCTGAAAGAATAATATCCACACCTTTACTGGCTGTCCTTTGTAGAAATATCTGTCATATTTTTTCCTCTCATAAAATCAAATGATCACTGTGAGTCTTCAGGATGACGAGCTGTCGGATGTTTGCAGCTTCCTGTTTACGGCCTTTAGTTTCCATTTGACACAGCTGTCTCTGAAGGAGATGTTGAGCTGAATGGAAGAATAAACTGAAACTGTCTGTTTGGCGAACAGATTTTAGCGTTTAAAAAAAAAAAAAAAAAGTTTCCATTAAACCCTGAATAAGTTAAATTTTTAGTATACCCAGCAGCTGAGGTATTTCAAGTTGGAGAAGCTGCAGGTCCACATGATGTTTTTATAAGGACACATAGACCCATGTTTCCTTCTAAAGCAAGGGAAAATGTCTAAATTAGTACACAAGTTCTGTTAAATGCTTCAGGAAAACTCACGTAAAGTCACCAAGCTGTTTTATCTTTCAAAGTAGTTAGATCAAACCTGATGCCATTAGGGTCATTGTTTTGGATTTATCTGGATGACTGAGAATCTACACCTGCTTTAAGTAATAAATAATCATTTGTGACCTGAAGGAACTAAAAAAAATAGATCAATAGTGGTGACGTCCATGGCTGAGCAGTTTGGAATGAAGAAGCCTGACAAGTAACACTGAAATATTCAACCTACCGGCCTTGCAGAGTTAAATGCAGAGAACTAATGATAACACTAACCCATATTCTGCTGACTAAAAAAATACTTTTGCTAATGCTAAACCGCTAAACGCGTATTTTTTATTAGCAAAAGTTAACGCTAAACCGCTAACCACAGACGACTGTCACTCAGTCTGCGTCACACGTCTTCCCCTCCATCCAGGTGAAGCTGCGTCGACCAATCACGTCTTCTCATGTGTACATGTAGTCAGCCAATAGCGTGCCTACCGGGCTCTTTGAGACACGCCCACAACAGACAGGAACAAGCTTGTGAACTTTGTTAGCAGACTTTAAAGTTGACAAAACCTAATTTAGCGGAAGCTAATTCAGGTAATGGTTTCCAAAGTTAGCTAAAATGCTAAACAAACAAACAAAAAAATCAGTTTTGCTGTTAGCTGTTAGCAAATTAGTTGAATTGCGCCCACCACTGCTGATATTTATTCTTGTCTTACTTTGTCTTTCTCCTTTCTTTTTTGTTTAGCAGCTCATTCACTCTTATATGTTCATGTAAACATCTACTCTGAGATACACTTGTACACTTTCACCATGTTTGTTTACCTTCATGGTCGACAGTCTCCTAAATCAGCGCTTTTCAAAGTGGGGGTGGGGCGCTAGAGGGTTCTCAGTAAGTTTAGAGAAGAAGATTAAAAAAAGCAAAAAAGCAAAAATAGTAGTAATATAATAATAAAAAATTGCACACTAAGGCAATCTGTATCTGTCATTTCCACATGAACACTATTGAGAGAGAGGTTAGATTTGTTTTGTTCTTCTGGTCAACAGTTTGTTGAAAAGTAGTTTTTCAGTGTTTAAAACATGTTGGTTAATAACGTTTTTATGCTCAGCAGCTGTAATAATTATTGAATATAGTGAATAAAAGTTAAAACATTCTAAAAGTTGATGTTTCTTTACATATTTTGTAGCATTGTTTGTGGGTTTGCGAGGGGGGCCTCGGTCAGAAGCTAATTTGGGGGGGCCATGGCATGGAAAAGTTTGGGAACCCCTGTCCCAAATAATTCAGTCACGTGACTCAAACTTCGACCGGCTCAGCGGAGTGCTTTGTTTACACTGAGTGCGTACCCTCATTTCAGAACTGGATATAAATATTCCTGAAAAACTACTGAAGTAAACTTTTTCCAGGTGCAATTTAGTTCAGGATAAACTTTATGTTTAATTTCATACTTTGCAACGAGCACCTCTAATATTTTCCACAGTCTCTGAGTTCAAGCATCAAATTATTGCTCTTGTTGCAACAAGTGAATTTACGGTGCAGCTATTTTTTTTTCTACAGCTGATATTTTTCAGTTTGTACACAGAAAATTATGTTATTCTTGAAATTCGATGAAACGCACAAGCTCTTGTTTAAACAACATTGTAACAGCCGTGTCTGTTCCTCGACAGACTTTGCTGAATGTCTAATGACTGTGTGGTTAATTACATCTACTTTAGACCAACCTCACACACTTACTGTTTGATGGGAGTGAAACTTGAGTCATTCAGATGCTGGAGCTTGCTTTGTGTTTACAAGTCTACTGGGAATGTATTTGTACAGAACACCACAGTTTAGCACGATGAGTGCTTTTCCATGTAAAATGTATAAAACTGTTTTTATTGCAACGTATCTTATCATTCTACTAGCTCTGAAAGTTGCATGTTCTCCTCTGCAGGATGATATCACCCATCATGTCATTCAGAAGTGGTCAGAACTGAGCTGGACAAGCCACTGGCTCACGTTTGGCTGCTGGGTCTTGTATCGCCTCGTTCTCTAATGAAGACAGAAGCGGAGGAGAAGCGAGCAATAACAAGAAGCAGGTTTTCCACTTCTGCACTGTGACTTTATCCTGCATTTACCTGAAGAGAACTAAATCCATTTGCATAATTTAACAATAAACCAACTCGCAGTGCTCAGGTCGCACTGGATGTTGGCATGGTAATCTGTAACGCCAGCCTGCAGGGGACTAGATTTTTATACCTACTAAGAGAAAACCTGCGGCGCCTATTTCTTTTACCGCATCACATCTTTGCTTTTTCTTTATCTGAGCTGTTGAGCCCTCCTGTTGCGACAGCACTTCTCACTGTCTCACTGGGCTCTTAATCAATAGCTATCAGCTCAGTGCAGATCGCCTGCTCCTCTCTGCAGATGTCCTCCAGATGTGCTATCCCCTCAGCTCAACTGCTTTACAGTTCCACTTTTGTTGGGAAAATAAAGTTGATGACTTTTCGAAGTCTTCTTGTTGTCGGCAAATCTAGTTAAATGACTGAAATTGATAATGTAATTTGTTTCTGAATGCTCTTTAATTTTGTTGGGCTGTCTGCAACATGCAGCTCTTAAAGCTGGAGTCTTTCGTCTCGGCCGCCTGTTTGTCTTTCTGTCAGAAAGATTAACGAGAAGCCGCAGTGAGCGGTAGATAAATGAGACGAGGAAGAAAGAACAGTTAAGATTTTAATAAGTCCAGGTTGCTGTGTGAAAAATCTCCAAACAGGGCGCTCAGCTTTAATTACCCTTATTACAGTTCTGACATAATTCTTCAGTTTCCTTCACAAAACTTTTAGTAGCACTGCGTCAGACAGTGTAGACAAAAAAAACTACGTACACAACTGGATTTTGGCAAATAAGAGTAGGAAAATGTCCCTAACGTTTGAGCTGTCTTAATTTTTATAAATAAATTCTTGCCATTAGCTCAGTCTTTGCACTTCTTCTACAGTTCACACATCAACATGAGTATTTTTAACCCACAGCAGAAGAAGAACTTGTAGTTGTGTGAATGTTTATGAACAAGCACTCTACTGTGATCCATTTTCTTCCGTACGGTTCTCGGTGTGCTTCTCATCCTGCAGTTTTTGTTTTATTTCAACAAATCCTAAATGAAAACGTTCAACTCCTTCAGGAGAATCCTGCAATGACTTTTGGTAGTGGTGCAGCTTTAGCTTTTTGAAACATTTAGTCTTTTCTGACTTTTTTTTTTTTCTTAGAAATTGAGTTGAGCTCAGTTTACATCCTTCAAATCTTTAGATCTGTTTACAACCTTTTCTGCTCCTTTCACATTTTATTCTGCTTCAGCTTCTTTCAGCTTCCTTGTGCAAAAAATAAATTGGATACTTTCTGCTAATTTCAGCTGTTTTTCAGCTGTTTTGTGCTCTTTTTAGATTCTTTCTGCCTAACTACGTTTTTGTGCTTCTTCTAACTTAATTCTGCTAATTTCAGCTTGTTATGCTCCTTTTAGCTTTTTTCTGCTAGTTTCAGCATTTTCTGCTGTTTCAGCTACTATTTAGTTGTTTTTATGGTAATTTTAGCTTTATCAGCTGATTCCAATTTTTTTCACTCATTTCATCTCTTGTCAGCCTATTTCAGCAAAAATGTGCTCTCTGCTTCATTCTTGTAATTTAAGATTCTTTCTGCTTTTTAGCTACTTTTCAGCTATTTGTTTTTTGTTGTTGCTAATTTCAGCTTTTTACAGATACGGTAATTTCCAGTTTTTTGTGCCAATTACTGCTTCTTTCAGCTGAATTGGGCAAAATTGTGCTCTCTCCACTTCCTTCGGCCAATTTAAGCTTGTTCTACCTTTTCAGCTAACTTTAGCATTTTTTTTTAGCTAATTTCAGCTGTTTTCAGATAAATTCAAGTTCTATGTGGTAATTTCTGCTACTTTCAGCCTAATTAACATCTTCCTGCTTATTTCTGCTTGTTTCAGCTATTTCAGCTGCTTTTACTTTACTTTTTACTTTTTTGGCGCTAAATTGAGATTTTTTCAGCTAATTCCACATTTTTTCACTCATTTCAGCTCTTTCCACTTCCTTCTGGTAGCTTAAACTTCTTTGATTTTTCAGCTACTTTTCAACTTTTTTTGTGTGTTAATTTCAGCATTTTTAGCCAATTTTCTAATTTTTGTGCTAATTTCTGGTTATTTAAACCTAATTCAGCAAATATGTTTTAGGTTTGTTCTTACATTTCAGCATGCTTAAAAAAATTTTTTTTAGCTAATTTCAGCTGTTTTTTTTAGCACCTTTTTTCAGCCGTCGTCATTCACACTACGTTTTTGCAGGAAATGCAATTTCTCTAGTTAGTTCTGCTTCTCATTGACTCCTGTTGTAGTTGAGCTTAGAATAAAGCTGCACTTCCACTGCACATTTTAAGACTAAATAAGTTTTAACATGCATTTCATCAGTTTAGCTTGTTTCAGACGTAAGTCTCAGATTATTACTGAACTTTATAGAAAAATGATTAATATTAATCATTTCAGACAGCAGCTGAATCGGCACCCTTCTAGATGTGTTCAGAAGTTTTCTCATTTCTCAGCGCTCTGGTTTCGTCTGCCTGTCCGTCTGCAGTCCTCAGACCTTGAATCCAAAGGTTTCCTCTTGACTGCCTGTTTGTCATTCCGTCAGAAAAGTTGATCAAAACTGCAGTGGATGATAAATAACACGAGGAAGAAAGAACAATTAAAAAAGTGAATCTGTGCTGCTGTCTGAAAAACTTTAAAATAGAACGTGCTTTAATGTAGAACATTTTCTAAAATCAAAAGTGACTCATTCTTAGTAGTTGTTCATTCTGTGCATTTATAAATAATATTTTCAATTTACATCCTTTTTGCCAGATTGTTTTGTAGGATTATTGTTAGCTTTGGTCTTCTCTTCAGATTTGCTTGCAGTCAGAAATACTAGAATACTAGTATATTAGAACTGTGTAATTTTATATCGTATAAATGCCACCGGTGATGGAGTTTAATCAGCAGTTTTACTGTTGTCAGTAATAGTTTCCTTTTTGTGTGAATTTGTATTTAAAACTGATTAAAAGGTCCTTCATTAAGTTTTGTAGTGGCAGTATCCTTATAGTGCTTGAATTTTGTTGTTACATTAATATTTCTTAGAATCCAACTTATTTTCTTAAAACAAATTACCATATTTGTACTTTTACTCTCCTAAACCTAAAATAAAATGTTAAAATCAGGGTATTTGAAATGTTTTACTGCATAGCAAAATAATGAAAGTCAATTTTGTACAGAGATTTATTATGAACAATATAATTTTTTTTCTCTTCGCAGCTGTTTTTAATGATTAATCTGTGAATATTGATGAAAGAGCATCAGGCTGGGTTTAAATGTGAAACAATGATGCAGGTTTGATTAGAGCTCAGTTTGTGCGCAGACTGCAGATTTATCAGCAATACCACGACAAATACTGTAAATATCAGCAACTCTGATGCTGTTTGCTTTAGGTCCATGTTTGGTCCCTGTAAATGTGAAGGCACACCTGTGATATTTTTATAAAGTTTTACATGAAACCTGGAATGTTGTCTGGTTTTGTTTTTCAATGGGTAATTCTGAGATGACGCGAGGTAAAAACCAAAATACTGTGCCTTGAAAAAGTATTCTGTGAACTTTTCCCCTTTATTTCATGTTATCATCATGAACTTTATTTACTTGTTTTTTATATCAGAGCAACACAAAGTAGTCATAAGTGTGAAGTGGAGGGATTATAATGTTTTTTTTACAAAAATCTGAAAAATGAGGTGTGCATTTGTATTCGCCCCCCCAAGTCACTACTTTGTACCACCATCTTTTTTGTTAAAGTATCAGCAGCAAGTCTTTTGGGGAATGTTTCTCTCAGCTCTGCACATCTATAGAGGCTGAACATTTTGATCGTTCTTCTATAGAGGCTGAACA